ACGTAAGAAGTTTCTTGTTCGAGCTCTTTTTCTAAACATAAAAAAAAGTTATTTGAATTCCAAAATATAATCGTACATTTAGTTTAAAATGATAGAAAAGACTTTGAGATATTGTTCGATAACAAAAATATGAAAAAAAAAATGACTGAAATTATACATTCACATCACTGACACGAATAGAATTTAATATTTGATCCTAATCGAGTGAATGTATACATGAAATATCATAATTAAATAGCACCTTGTCGATAGATGCATTCACGAGATATTGACAAGATTTTTTCATCTATCAATAGAGTCACTTTTGAGTTAGATATTTTGTGGGAAAAAAAATTTTTCTAATGAAAATTGAAAAAACCTATAGCGATTCTGCTGATATCTCATGGTTTTCATTATAGATTTATTCGAACGTGCTCTGTAACTATTATTATTTTTATTTAAGAAGTTACAATCAGCTTGATAGCTGGATTTCTTGAAACACGGCTTGGGCTTAGCATCGTTATTTACGCCGTGCTGATTATTTTGTATGTTGTAACTTCTTTATATCTTGAAGAATAAAAATAAATAAATAAAATGGTATTGACCTAATAGGTCAATTATCAAATAACAAGAAGAAACAACACAAATAATTTTTGTTTTTATTCAATAATTAACACTGAAAGATCTCTGAAGATTAAATCTTTCGAATATAATAACAATAACAATCAAATATGAATTGTTGATAATGCATCCGCTAATCGAATGTTATAATAACATATAACTATCATTTTCACTATTGAATCTAGCTGAAAGATCTAATAAAAGCAAATCATTCAACAAACATGATTTCCTCTGTTTGACTATAAAAAAACAATTGATTTCATATATACAAGTTTATTATTAACAAATAAAAAAAATCAATAAAATATAAATTAGTCCTTGTGTTGTTTAATAAACCATTGTGATACTTTTGTGATTTTATCACTTACATAATTCCAGATATCTTTAAAAGAAAAAAAAGGAAAATCTTATGAAATTCTAATTTATTCGAAAACTGATATATATTTACAGGAAATTTTTTCTCTTCTTATAGTAAAAAATTAATTTAAAATTACAGATATGCATAGCCTTATATTTATGAATGCTGTTATCCAAATAATAAAGTTTTTAATGAAAAACGATTTCAATGGAAGGAACTTTTTAAAATGGAATTATATTGAAATGAAATCTATTATATCAGTATTTTGTCATACTATTACTGCTTCGTTTCATGTCTACAATTTCCTATCAGTTGGCCTTTAAATAAAAAGCAAACTCAGTCACAAAAGAGATTATCTCTTGTGCCATAAACGAATAAATTGTGTTTATGAATACAAATGAGTATAAGTTAGAGTTGGAATCGGTTGAAAATTTCTCGATTGATCGGAGCTTAAAATTTTTTCATATTGAAAAGTTATTATTCTAAATTAAATTTCGTTTTAAATACTTACAAATTTTAACAAAGAGAAAAAGTGTCTCATTTTCAACATTTGCTGATTTGACTTTAAATATATTTTCTTTATTGGATTCTTTGACTTAAACTTGCTTATTAAAAGAGAACGTTTTGCGCATTTTTGAAGACGAACTTCTTTATTTCTTTTTTTTTTAAATTAAAAGAAAATTAAGAGTTTCCTATAGATTTTTTGATTTCTATTGGTCTATTTTTGTCATATTTACAAATCGATGAACCATCTGTTCAATGCACTGGAAATATCCAATGAAAAAAAAAAAAAAAAAAAAAAAAAAAAAAGGCTAAACTATCAACTCATTGTTAATGTTCTAGATCTTGAATTTTCTCACGTAAAACTTCGAAATACAATTTAATCTTAAACACCATGTACAAAATAATTTAAATCAATTTTCATTGTAATTTTCAAAACTAAAGCATATTTCAATTAAACGAATAAAACAGAAGCAAATAATGTGTAACTTTGGAAAAGATTTGAGAAAAGAACATGAGATGTTTATGAACATTTTTCAGAATATGGTCTCGTTCCAAAGCTGGCATGATTAAATCTGTAAGTCAAAGTTTTTATGAATCCGAAAAAAGCTAAACTTTTAGATCTGGAGCTAGGTCTATGATGTTTTTCTCGATAACATCTTATACCTTCTGTGTATACAAATAATTAAAGGATGAGAAATTTAGCAATTTATTAACTAAAATTTAAAATGTAAAGTTAAAGTGACACTCCTTTTTTTTGTGTAGAATTATTTTTTTATGGTTACTTATTCATGATTTTATGCTTTATACATGAAAACTTGATGTTTAACTTAAAAAAGACACATTTTATTAATCAGAAAAAAATAACATAAAATGAATTGATAAAGAAAATTCATCAAACTAATAATAACACAATAATCTTCAAGTATATGGATTTGTTCTTCTCATGTTTACATGAAAGATGTCGACATTTATACATACACTAATATATCGTTTTTTATTTGTAATGTGTCTGTTAATTACATAAAAAAAAGCTTGATAAAATATTCTACATTGATTAAAATTTTTTATTTATTAGGAATGATAAATTTACATTTACAAAAATTGAAAACAAAAAAATTTTTTGTAAAATTTCAATATTAATATAATTAATATTTAAATTAGTAGTTGAATGTAAATCGGATTTGGAAAGACTCACAACTATCTATACTAGCCGTATGGATATTGAAATAGTTTCAATAAACATGTTATAGATTCTTTGCTATAATTTTGTTTTCAAATTGAAAAAAAAATTCAAATTTTAAAAATAAAATATAAATAATTTACTTACCATCATTCAAATGATCTTCTATAAAATGATGGCAACGATAGCAAACTACAATATTGTCCTTATTCACTTTTGTCAAAAGTGGGCATACAAGTAATGCTTCACGTTCACATCGACAAATTCGATTTTGTTCTTTGCATTTATAACAAAATGATTCCATTGTTTAGATTAATTATTTGAAAAATTTACTTTTCTAAGACAAATAAAAAAAAGAACGTTCAAATATAACAAGAAATCAACCTCATTTTCATTTTTTATTATTTGTTTAAAATTGAAAAAAATCGACATTTTTCAAAAAAAAAATTAATGGATTATAATTGTTAATCGGGTGTTTGGTGGCTTACTTGATATCTGATAAATTATCGAATTTCGATTGAGAATAATGAGGAATTTTTTTCACACGTCTTCTATTTTCCCATATTGATGTTCTATAACAATGACTATGAGTACAACAAAACCACCTACATCACAATTTGTTTTTAAAACAAATTGAATTTTCTTTTATTAAATTGTAAATCAAAGACATATCGTTTTCTAGATGACGCTGCTATAATAGTATCGTTCGAAATCAAAGCTGATCTACTTTACGCTATAGCTTCTTGTTTCAATGATAATTGGTGGGATCAGCACTGGTTGAGACAGACGTTTTTCAGATCGGAACAGTTTCATTGATATTTTAGAAAATTTCGTTTTTACTTAACTCCCCTTCCTTCATTAATTGAATTTATACTTTTAATCAATGAATTTTTAAAAAAATCAAACAACATATCCATATCATAATCTAAAATGACATTTTTGTTGACGTAATATTCTCGAAAGTAATAAATTCTATTCATTTAAAAGTTTATCGAACAATAAGTTTAAATATTATACATATAGAGAATGAAGAAGTGAAACAATATGGCTGATAATCTCTAACTATTGTAGAGGAACATTTCAAATCGAGGAATCGAAAAAAGAATCGAAGGCACTATTAGTTTTGTAAAATTCTTTTTCCTTGCTTGGCCATGTACAAAAGTTTTTTAAGAGATCCTTTTAAAAATTTTCGATGTTTTTTGAAGATTTTTACAATTTATAAAATTTTTCGAGAAAAAGAAAGAATGAAATTTTGAAAAATTTAAAGTTATTGTCGACCGATATCTTCCTATCTTTTTCCAATCTTTTCACTTCGAAATATTTTGTGGACATATATATATATATATATGCAAAGTCGCATTTTTTTTCGTCTCCTAGAACATTAGTGGGCTTTTTCTTGTGAAGAGCCATTTTAAAACTTTGTTTTAGGAGACCAAAAAAAAGGTGGGTCACAATAGAAACTTACATTGAAGCTTTTAACTTTTAAAAGAAATACTCATCTTTTTCCTTTTTCTTTGTCAATTATTCAGGTTTACAAAGAATTCATCGTCATAACAGCTAGTTTGGCATTAACAGTTGGAAATGTTCATTCTTAATGAGGAGAATGGAGATAATAGTAATATGGGTATGAAGGCGACCGTTTTTCATAATAACTTATGTTAGTTAACAAATGATGTGAATAGAAATATGATCGAAGACAGATTTAATTAGATAAGATATAACTGGGCAAATGAGGAGGGATAGGATATTAAGAACGAATAAATTTTGAGGATCTTAGATTTGTAAGGCTTAACTCATATAAGGATCTGTTTGATTTCTGTGCTAATATTAAGAAATGTATATAGTTTTCGTCATGATGGGAGAAATCTATGTGCTTCCCTGTTCATTTCACGATTTTGCTCTAATTAGACAGATCAATACAGTAGAATTCATGCATTAAATATGTCTAGATCAAAATGACTTCTTCTAAATGCCTCCCTCTCGCCTTATAGTATAATGAGAAAATATTCTCAAAACGAGTCTACTTTTTCTTTTTAAATATACTGCTTCTTTCTTTATTAAATAACTAAATGAATATAGGAAAGACAGCATAAACATTCCATAAACAACAAAAGAAAACAAATCAGGGTGTGGTTGCAGAGAAGAATGACACCCACACCCTCAAAATACTATATCACTAAAATATATTTACCTTGAATATTAATAGTTTTCATTTCCAAAATATTATCGGATAATAATCCATGTAATCGACCGAGAAAACCTTGACCATCACCAAATGCATGACCAGCAAGTCCCATCCATTCACAACTACCAGCATTTATTGTATAATTATATTGATATGTTCAGTAATAGATTGGATCAATTTTTTGCACCAGCTCCAAATGTACTAATTCCATCATATTCATTAATATCAATGTAATTAATTGCTTCCATATTAATAAGAATATTGTTGTATATTGAACCTAAACCATAGCCTTCATAACTATGACTTCCACTTCTTGCATTCACGATATAATTTAATTTTGTTCCACATTTGACTACGTTTTATACATCGTTACTATCCGTTGCATAAACAATAGTAGCAGGAAAATGAGAAATTTGACCTCCGCGAACACCCAATAGTTCATTAACATTGAAATGATCACATTGATATTGAGCACTATTTTGATCTGTTAAAGTGCTACACGGATAAATAGTACGTATTGACAATGGGAATAACGATGAAAGACATGTTTGTAAATTGTCGTTGCTAGTTCTTGTCAATTTATAATTATCATCATAATATTTGTTGTAATAAAAGTAATTTGAAAAATATAGACCCACAAAATGAAGGATAAAGTTGTGGTACATTTAATCGTTATAGTCTAGAGAAGTACATCGTTTCCAAATTATCTATTTTTGTCACATCAAATTAGAAGATATATAACTCATAAACTCTATTGTCAATGATAATGTATCTAGAGTACGTGGAAAGATTCCAAAATTGAGAGGAGAAGGAGTGTATAAGAAAATATCTTGTTAATAAATGAAGTTAAATGATCGCTATCTATTTATCAAATAGAATACTCGTATCTTTCACTTATATTTTGTTCGGTGAACTTTCATTAAAATATACCAGTAACAAAAGATTCTCAATATCCACGACTGCTGTATCATTTCTATTTCTGTGTCAATTATTGTTGCATATAGACATTTTCCTATAATGATCATAACTCCTTTACTATGATTTGTATCTTTCTGATAAAAAAATATCATAGATAATCCTATTTAATAACATGCAGCAAATAAAAAATGATGGATTTGATTCAATTTCTCAGTAAATGACTTTTTGAAATGCAAGATGAATACACGCTCACTATTTTAATTTTAAAGAAGAAGCTGAAAAGAAACAAACATAGTAACAATAACGAATTCAAGGGATCAAAAAATGCGCGTAAAATAAATTTCATTATTTAAAGCATTTGACTATATTACTTCACTTTTATTGCACATAATAAATTATCAGATTAATAGTTATGTTTTTACTTCATTCAGTATAGAACCTTTGGGATAATATCACTGATGTCGTCTGTTATTTCGAACGTCTTTCATATGTGATGTAGACTCTAATATTTTATTATCTGACCAAATTATTTTTTTATTTTTTCTTATCATAAGCGTATTAATAGTCACTAGTTTTCTAGAGAACTTATGAAGGATAATGTTTGAAGAGATAAACAAAATTTCATAATATTGCTTTCATCAGCCCAACATATGTAGAAACTTTCAAACAGAAAAAATTAACACAGTAACGCTTTTAATTTAATAGAAATATTTTCGAAAATTTATCGAAAGAAAACAAATAATTATCAAATTGTATTCATTTAAAAACAATAGTTGATGAGCACTACTTGGAGTGGTTTGAACAGGAGTCGATGTTTTCCTAGTTATTGTTGAACTACTACTTATTATTGTCGTAAGTGTTGTTGAACTAGTACTTGTTTTTGTGGTTGTAGTCGTTGTCGTGGTCATAGTTGTTGTTGTGGTCGTTGTTGGTGTTAAAGTGGTACATTGATCAATTTCAATATCATCAAAAGCGACTGATACTGGTACTGATTGTGTTTGATTGACATAAAATGAAAATGTTTTGTCATAAAGATAGTCATAGACAGGAGCAATAGCAGTCTGCCATCCTTGACTATCATCTAATGATCGAAACCATATGATTTGTGGAAAGGAGTCAGAAGAAAGGAGAACGATCGTTGTTCCATTCTTGTTAATAGCCGTTGATTTTACGTAATAAGAAAATTTAACACACAGATTAAAATTTTCAACAATGGCTGTTGATGTATATATTATTCCATAATCTGTTGAAGTAAGTGGCAGGTGTCGATCCCAATAGAGAAAACCACCGGATGTTGAATTAGTTGTATGATCATGCGTTGGGCCAAGGTTTTTATCAGGTATTGTATCACCGGTCGATAGAGTAAAATTAAAAACGGTCTTAGACGATTTTGCACCGTTCATCATACCACACATACTTGAATGATCAAAATTGCATGAGAAAGAGAGAAGAGATGGACTAGATTGAGAAGGAGGATAGACACATGAGACGATAGCAATATTATCGATAGCAAATGTGCTTGAATAAAAATCTCCATTAAACACACGAAATAGAAGTGAATAATTACCAATTGGTAGATTGATAACACCCCAAGTCCTAGTACAAAAAAAAAATAATTGTATCGATCGACAAGTATTTTTTTTTTGTTGGATCATGATCTGATGCACATGTCAGAATCGTTTCAGTCAAGATTTGTCATGTACACTTACCATTCATTGAACGCATATCTACAATTAAATGAAATATATTTTAATGACATGATTTCATCAAAATCATTTACTGGTATCGATGAAGATCTCCTGTTGGCCATAACTTTTGGATTATTTTCGATTCGTTAGACGTCCATGAATAGATTGATAAATACGCTTGATGCTTATTCGGTCCTTGGGTACCGTAATATCGAAAATTCAAGCAATAGGATTCGTTTGATGTTATTTGAATTTCTCTTTGTGCATGTAGATAACCAAGACCTCTTGTAGCATTAGATAATAATGCATAATGACCTGATGCATTTCCAAAGGTAAAATCAACACTTGGTGCTACTTTGTCTATTTTCACAGCATCACTGGCATTGAGAATTGACCATTGATATACATATTGAGGTAAGGAAATAAAATCATTCGTACATGATGATTCAAAATCACAAGAATATAAAACTTTCGGAGGTATTGGACGTGGTCCATCACAATAATCGACTGAAAAATCATCGAATGTTAAAGGTTGAGTTGAAACATTCAATCGAATAAATATTTTTAATTCTTCAGTTGGTAATGTGATATTGATTAGTGTCCAATCATTAGTTGATGCATTTCGTTCTGCAGTAGAAAAAAATACACGTGCTAGTTGTCCATCATCACCTTGTCCAACTTGAACGTTGAATGGAAAGTTAGCACGAGATGTATAGTACCACACATAAAAACATAGGACACGATCAATTGACAATGGTAAAGGATTAGTTGTTTGTATTTCTGTCCACAGAGTTTGTGGACTAAATTGCGGATTGTAGTAACGATAATGACCAGCACCTGTATTTAACGTATGATCATGATCGATACCTTGAGAATGATCACCATCTGTTAAACCCCAGTTGGAATCAAAAGTAAAATCAACACAATCTGTTTCAAAGTCACAATGAAGTATAGTTGCATGATTGAGAAATACATGGCATAGAAAACTAATCAAGAGGATTAACATTTTAACGAATATCTACTTGCTGCAGTTAGTGTAGGCTTATATAGATGATGTTAGTTAAGATGTTGCATATATGTTATGCAAGAATGTAGCATGATACATAGCATACTATCTCCATATAAAGATAAGAACAACATTTTCTTTCGTTTCATGCTCGTCTTGTCGTCAATCCTATATCACTAATATGAGTCACATTTCGCAATGGAAATAATAAGAGAAAGATAAGGACACTATAAATTTATAATGAAACCTAAAGTTTACTCGAAGATGAGAGTAATAGTGTCCACTATGAAAAGTTTTATTCTATCTGTTAAATATGTACGACAATTTGTTATGCCTCTAATAAAAACGACACATATATTAGCATCATTTTGTAGGTCTCACTGAGCTCTACGTACGCTGAAAAAATGGCACTTTTTAATTGGAATGAAGTGGTGATCAGTGATATTTCATGTTGCTAAGCATAGGAGCAACCTACTGTGAAGGAGCTAATGGCCTATTTCATTGAATACACTATGAAGTGTCCACCAAAATCGTCTATGTGCATCAAGACTAGTTTAATGTTAAAGAGAAAAGCATAAATTTTAAAACGGAAGTAGTTTGCCGTGCGACTTTCATTTAGGGCCGATTTGTGGATCAACCCGTCCGCGTCCTTTCAGACTTTTCTAACGTAGCCTTTAAGAAATATGAATATTTCAAATGTATTTATGTTTCGTACAATATCTGTAAAAACGACGTATATTTTGAAGTATTCATATTTCTTAAAGACCGCGTTAGAAAAGTCTGAAATTTTGTACATAACCTAGTCCACTTGATAGATTGATATAAGCAAAGTTTCAGGTCAAAATTCTATACTACGATTTTGCTGAATATCTTGGATCCTGTGGGGAATATTTCTTAAAAATTCGATATCTTGGAAACAAAGCTGTGAGGGCTCAAATTCTTTACAGCTTTTTCATATCTCATCAAGGTCTACTTATGGTCAAAAGATGAAAACTAAACTCGTTGCACATCTCGGGAGCTTCCCTCGTAAGTGTTTTGATTAAAAATATCACTTTTTTCGGAAAACTAGTCGCATAGATAGAGGGGTTTGAAATACTTTCTGAAAGTACTAAAATACAATTTTTGTTCTGAAAGTCAATCAAAATGTGTTTTAGATTTTTTGAAAACAAAAAAAAATAAAATAAAAAGTTCGCCTTTCTGCTAAAATAACACCATCGAAAACAAGATAGTTTTATTGGTTTCTTACGGCTTTTTATGCAGTAATGTATTTCAAAAGTTCTGAAAGAATTCTTGAGACTTAAAGAAGACTTCGAAAAACTTTCAAGACTTCATGGAACTTCACGACTGAAGTCTCTGCTGATTTTCCCTTGACATGATATTGATGCGGGAATTTTCCATCTTTTTTTTATTTCGAAAAAAAGAGAAATAAAAGTGAAAGATTCAGGAAACTATTAATTGATGATAGAGACTATATTTCACTTAAAAGAGTCATACAAGAAAAGCAAAGAATTTGGAAAGAACAGAGACAAGAAACTCCATTAGCGCTGAATCATCTTGATCAATCATATCAATTTGGAGAATGGATAAATAATGACATAATAGCACTCATGAAATTAATGATAATCGCGACAATAACCAAAATTGCAGCTGAACTCATAAAATACTCTAATAAACCGGAGATAAGATATATGCCAACTCCAAGACCGATGACACCCATAGCAAAACTAATAAAGCTTAGAACTATTGATACAATACGCAGTTTTCGATTGGCGGTCGCATTCTTAGTAGCATATGTCATGAGGGTGTGGGTCTGGATCTGGATGTGGTTGTGTCTGTTTCTGCTTCTCACATTTTACACCCACATCCACACCCTAAAGAAAGAAAACTAATATTTGAGGACATCGAAAGAAATTAACATTTTCAATCAGCGTTCTCTGTAAATTGTTCAATATCTGTAAATCATTCAAGAGTCTTTGGTACATCTTTGTGTTTAAAAGAGAAAACTTTCACTTGAATATCACGTGCTTTAAAAGCATATTCCAAAGACGTCTTTTTATCACCACAACTCTTCAACACCTTTGCTAAAATATAGGCTGCTTCACCTATTCGTGAATGTCCAACAGCAAGCGTAGTATCAAGAAGGGTCTGGGTGTGGGTGTGAGTGTGGCTCTCAAAAGAAAAGCAACACATCCACACACCACCCACACCCACCCTCGATTCATATCAATCATTTACTGCGATCATACAAATGGTATGTAATTCTATCAGGTAATA